TCTTCAATAAATTTTTCAAATAGCATTGTGTTATCAATTGAATTGCAAGTAATTTTCCGAACTGTTTTTTGATTTACATCAAGTGTTGATATTGCTTATAATCACTTTTGATTATAAGTGCTCTTGTGTATCAACACAACTTAAAGGAAAATTCTAAAAGTTCACTTGCACACTAAGTGTTTGATAAACTCTTATCTTGTTCAACTCAATGAAAAATTGCAATGTTCTATCACTTACTTTCATTTACTCTCTATGTGCAATTTATTGAATGTGTTGTTTGATTGATCAATTCGTATAGAATTTTTTTTTATTGTTAAAGTTTAAATTTTTTTATTTATTAGGTTATAATAACTTTGATTGTAAGGGCTTTTTCATATCAACTAAGGTTAAATAAAATTTTGAAAAATTGATGACGCGCGACATGTTCGATAAAATGTCGAGTTATGTTTTTAATATGATTTCAGTGGAAATATGAAACTGTTGTGCTTGGTATTAAACTATTAATTGAGATATTTTTATGTTGATTAATTTTATCATTATGTTAATTCCATATTGCCCGTGCATATCCGAGTTTCCAATAACTAGGCTCGTTTAGACTACTATATTGATCTAGGCCAAAAGTCTTCCGTTCAACATTTTTTTTTTCATATAAGTTTTATAATCATTTTTAAATATGGTTTTTATTTTGGGAACTATTCACCCCCCCCCCCCCCCCCTCTAGATTCGATGTTGTAGTCTAACAGTCATCCTGTATAAAACTCTTGTTTAGTTTGAAGGATATCCGACTCAAAACTCCATCTTGGTTTGTGATTATCCTGTCCAAAATTTCTATTTGGTGTGAAGACTAACCATATTAAGCCATGTTTGTTGTTTGGTTAGAAGTTAGCCTGCAACTTATATTCCATGTTTAAGGGGATTTATGGCCATATCCTTCTAAAAAATATCAAGCATAGTGAATACTCTCATGATCAATTTTTGCGGACAGGATTAAGTATTCTTAGTCGAACATGTATAATTCTCTTATGTTATTTCTCTTCCTTTATCTCTTTATTTTCCAGTTATTTACTTTGAATGTCTGTTGAATTTTTATTTTTTGTCATAAATTGGTTTTTTAAACTCTAATTTATCAAATGATTTGTTTTTAAATAAATGATTTTCAAACCTTCATAATTCACCCCCCTCTTGTGTATGGAGTCATATGTCCAACAATAATATCCACCCTCAGTAGTTTGTATGATAGGGCTCACCCGCCAATATGACTACCACATTATCCTTGGTGGACCTATATGAGGATTAAGGAGATTTTGCTCCCCCTAGACATATTAAACATGGAGGATGCCTTCCACATCTTATAGTGCTTCCCACACATCATGGTGTGCTTTTTTGCGTGTTTTTGGATCTTTTTTGCTTCTAGCTCGACGGAAAGAGTTTGTATAAAAAGAAATATCCTATTATAGGAGCCGCCCAACTGGAAATCTAGGAGAATTCAAGAGTTTTGGTTTCCTGTCTTAATATTGGGGAAGACTAGATTTTTTTGAATGATAGTTTAGTTAAGACCTGAACTTTTTGTGCTTGAGCTTAAAGAGGAGATCAACTCTAGAGTTTTATTCACTGGGCACATATGTCATCTCAAAACCTTTAAAACAAACCGATAATTCACATACCTTTTTCATATATTTGATTTGCTAGCGCTCATTCGCCTAATACTCCTCTGCGACCTAAATCTCCACCAACTGTGAGTTGCTTCTAGACTTGAGGCTTGAAGTGCCCATCTCTAGGAAGAGAACCATGTATGCGATGAGAGCTTCATACTCCGCTTATTTATTGATGGATTTAAACTAAAACTTCAAGTATTTCTCTATCAGGAGCTCGTTAATTACAAAACTCCAGTTACGCATGAAACAAGATGACCCACATAGGACTGAAATTTGACCATGCCTCTGGTATAAAAAACTAGGGAACTCCCACTATTATAGAGATACTAAAACCAACTTCCCCACTTTAAAAGAAAGATTATTGTGTTAGCTTTCTAATGTAACTGACAACACCTCAAACGGACTTACAAAACTCAAGTTACGCACAATCCTCTTCTATGTCTATCTGTGATTTTTTTTGCACTTTCTCCCTATTGAACAAATCCAAAATTCGTTTGTTTAGGTCTTAACCGCCACAACACACAAAAAAAACATAACCCTGAACAATATGACTCAAACATCACATATTCAACATTTTGTCACATCAAATATCATAATTTCAACATGTAACTCCCGCCTTATCATAAGGCATCACCATATTCTATTAATTCATAACTTATACTCCCACCTTATCATAAGGCATCAACATATTTTATTAATTCAAAATCAAAAATCAATATAGTACAAAAGGAAATCATATCATATCAACTGCCTTAAAGAGGATTTGCACAAACCTTCTTCAGCCACAAAACATCATCAAAGAGGAAAAGAAAAGGGAAAAGGAAGGAGGGTAAGGAACCCTCACTATCCATCCACTTAAAACACCCATACATGAATAATATCACCTTACCTCGAATTCAAAGAAACTTGAAGCTTTGGCTATGAAACTCACTTCTCCGACTCTTGCTCTCCCAGGGTTTGCTTTTCTCTCCATGCCTCTTTCACAACATTTTCAAGTACTTACAAACTCTCCCAATTTTTCTTTCTTAAATAAATAAAACCTAATTCTCCTTTATTTTAATTTATTTCTGAAAACTCCCCTCAACTCTCTATAACTCCACCACCTCCCTAATTTCTTTAAAAGTCTATTTTATTGATCCAAAGCTAATTTTCTCATATTTTATCTATTAATTAAATAATTAAAAATATAATCAAATCTAGTTTACTTCTAAGCCACTAATCCTCACTTCTACACTAATTTTAACCAAATTCATCCTCTTAAATTTTTAAACTAAACACACTTCAAAACTCTATAAAAAATATATATAAAAAATTGGGATGTTACAGTGATCATTCACCGAGACCACTAATGTACCTAAAACGAAGGGATTCCCTTTTGAAGTGTAGAAAATCTTCACCCGAATTTAGAAACTTTGCCCCAACATGAACTACTATGAGATGAATCTTGGAAAAATTAACAATCAAATCAGAAGTTAGCTCAAAAACCTAAAGATGATACTTAATTGTCCATAGATTCTCTACTAAAGCCTCACTTAGAATCAATGCATCATCAACATATTATAGTTGAGAAATTACTAAATCCAAGGACCCTACTCTAAACCTAGTGAAACGACCCAAACCTACCTCTTTACTAAGAAGACCCCTAAAGGAAGGGGAAATGGGCCAACAAGTATCCTGTCTTAATGCACCTTTGAATAATAATCTCTTAAGTGATAAAATCATTAAGAAGGATAAAAATATTAATGGGTAAGACACATGCACTTATCCATAAATTCCACTTACCCTCGAAACCGTACTTACCCAACATGTAATCAAGAAAACTTTAACTAATAAAGTCATACTCCTTTTCAAAATCTACGTTAAACATACGACATTCCTATTTGGTTTTCATAGCTAGATCAACAACCTCATTAATCATAACCACTCTATCAACCAAAAGTCTACCTTTAAGAAAAGGAGACTGATTTGGAGAGATCAACTTACCCATAATAGTCATAATTCTTACTGCCAACACTTTGGCAACAAGTTTGTACATTGAACCAACTAGAGAAATCGATTGAAAATCTCCTAACTACAAAGGAGATTCAACCTTGGTAATTAAAGTGATAAAGTAAGAATTAAAGTTATGACGAAGTGAGTGAAAACTATGGAACTGCCAAAGCATCAACCTAAGTCGATCCTAATAAACTTCTAGAACCTTTTGAAGAAAAAAAGTTAAACCATCAAATCCTAGATTCTTGTTACCCTAACACTAAGAATCCCTAAACCAAGCTCTGAGAAGAGGCAGAGAGAGGTAAGCTCTGAATCATCCTCCAAAGAAAGAGACCGGAAGAAAACTTTAATTAGACGAGAACTATTAGAGATAAGAATATTGGGTTATGTTTACAACCACTAAATCACTATTTGATCGTAAATTTGTTGAATCTATTAATTAAGAGGGGAATTCAATGTTAATAGATTGGATAGATCTTGTGTTATTTATGGGAATGAAAGTGTACGATTATCAATAGTTGTAGACAGATTTATGAAATTTGAAATCGTATAATAGATCAATAGTTTATTTGAAATGATTAATTGATAAATCTAATCTCAACCATATTTTCTTAAACTTTGATAACATTTTCTTTACTTTTTATATTATTTTAGTCACACAAAAACAAATCAAATCTTGTTTACTTAGAAATATAAATTCACTAAACGATTGAAGTAAACATGAAGTTCCTATAAATATGATAATAGAAAAATACATTTGATATTGCAATAAGACTTGAGGTCAAAATTCCTCTATCAAACCTTACAAAATTTTTTCTTTGCATATTTGATGGCTTTAATCTCAATATGAGCTTTGACTAACAAGTCTCAGGTTTTGTAAATGTGTAATGGAATGATGGTTTCATGGTTCCATTGAAGAATGATAAAACCATCAACAAAATTCACTATTAGATTTCAGTCCACTCTTATCGTGGGATCCAAAAAGGTTCTTACAAGATCAATTTCAAATAAGAATAGAGCATTAAATAATGAGTTGGGGAATTAACAAAAGGGCAAAGATTGAAAAGGAAGGTGACAAGGAAGAAAAAGGGTGAGAGTGGGACATAGCATAGTATCACTATCTTTATAATTACGTATCCAACTGCACACTAGGAGATCACAGGCCACAGAAACTTGTGGCTCGCAAAACTTCCCCTTTCTTAGCTGGCATTTTCCAACACAACTTTTCCACTTTATAAAACCTTTTCACACAAACTCACAATTCATTGTACCTCCCTCTCTCTTTCTCTCTTTTACTTCTCCTTAGCTTTTAACTAAATAGCAACAAATTCTTCTACAAAGGAAATTGAAATCATGTCTCAGATGATTAATGATTCGACAACCATAAAACTTTTTGGGACAACCATTTTTTTGACACACAACATCTATGTCTCTACCAATTATTCTTCCTCAAAACCTCCTCATGAAGATTTCTCTGATCATAGTCTTCATTCATCTGTATCTTCATCTTCTCCACATGATGTAATCGTTTCACAACAAACCACAGAGGATTTAAACACTCCCTCAGCTGAAACAGAAGCTTCACAACAGTCTTCCACAAAACTTGATGAACAAAGTCATATGTCACAAGACAAATCTCCAAAGAAACCAGACAAAATTGTTCCATGTCCAAGATGCAAAAGCATGGACACAAAGTTTTGCTACTACAACAACTACAACGTCAAACAGCCCCGGCACTTCTGCAAAAACTGCCAGAGATACTGGACTTCCGGAGGAACCGCGAGAAAGATGCTTGTAGGAGCAGGTCGCCGTAAGAACAAAGTCACTTCTTTTTCTTCCAATGTCTTGCATTATCCTCAAATGAGTACTGTCTTGACCTTTGGATCAAATTCTTCTAATATAACATACTATGGTGGTTTCTTGCAACCATTATGGAATGTACAATCTATCCCAACACAATCTTGTGGCCCAAGTAAACCTACTTTAGGGAAACATTCAAGAGATGGAGATATGATCATTCATCCCAACTCAGAGAAAGAAAAACTTGGATTAGAAAGTAACAACAAAGAAAGTAATGATACTAATGAAGTGTTGATTCCTAAGTTACTGAGATTTGATGACCCTAATGATGTTGCAAGGAGTTCTATATGGTCAACAATAGGAACCAAGAATGGAGGAGGAATTTTCAAGGGATTTGGATCTAACTGTGACAAGAAGAATAATGTGGTTGAAGCATCTTCATCAATATTGAAAGCTAACCCAGCAGCTTTATCAAGGTCTATTGTGTTCCACGACAGAATTTGATTGTGTATACATAATACCAATACCTCATATTGAAGCTGTGTAATTCATAAGACTCTAAAATATTTCTTCATGTAATTTATAATTAGATGAATTTGTTGAGTAAATATCTTTGATGTACATATTATGTATGAGACAGGATAAATAATAACATGAATAGATAAATATTACAATCTTCCTATTGATATTGCTTCGCCTTCTACTCTGCAGTAGTAGTATGGTAATGTTGGTTCCAAAAGACTGACATTTAATTTAATTTTACTCTGTAATGTCATTTTCCATAATATGTTGTAAAATGAAAAAACCTATTCATTGCTACAAAAATATCTATCACTTTGATTGGGAGAAAATGTTTCAACACAATTGGGTCTATGTCGTAACAAAAAGTGTCGTAGAAAGTGTACTACTTTATTCTTTAAAGTTAAGGGTCAAGATAAAAAATTAGATAGTGTGCTATATTTCTCAACTGTGGTAAAATGTCAGTCAATCCATTATTTTTACGGTTGACCGTAGTGAAAAGTCAATAATTCACCCTTTTTTCTACGATTGAGACTTCTAACTATGAAGAAAAGTCGGACAATCAAAAATTTCATCTTTGTCACATGCTGAGAAGATCGGAAACTTCCATCACAATATAAGATATTCAATATTTCTAACACAACAACAATAAAACAAAATGAATAAAATTGTTAAACGCTAAATATTAACAATAACAACAATAATAAAACAAAATCAATATAATCGTTAAAATTAAATCTCTAAAACAAGAACAACAAGAACAATAAAACACTAAATCGATAAAATCATTAAACATTAAATCTCAATAACAACAAAAACAAAAATAAAAAAAATAGAATCGTTAAACATTAAATTTCAACAACAACATTAAACATTTTACCTGATACAACAACAACAACTAACATTGTTAAGTTGAATCTATATTTCCGTTGCCTCATTCGATTTGGAGAAGAAATCACCGAGGTTTGAAACTCGTTAATGGAATAAATAATGTTTCCAAGTTTCGTTTATGAAAGAAATGATGTTTTAGAGTTTGATTTAGTGGAGAAATAGAGTTTCGTAAATGAAAGATAAAATTTTAAAAGTAGAAGATGAAGTTCGTCTAAGTTCGTTTAGGGCAAAAGTGAATAAACGTAGGGCGCTATATATCTTGGAAAAATAAAACAGGGTGACTTTTCACCATATTTGAAATTCTAAACCGTGTGGAAATGTAATTTATTTTTAATTTAAGAAAATAGGTAGACTCCCCTTTTCACCACGGTTGGAATTTTCTTCTCTTGAAAAATGTGGCTTAAAAATAAAAAAAAAACAAAACTACTGATATTGGGATTCTAAAGCATGACCAATGTAGTTTTTCTCAATCGTGGAGAAAGGTCGCTTAAAAATAAATGAAAAATAAAACTATTGATATTGAGATTCGAAGCGTGTTCCTGAATAAATTTTCTTCTCTGTTGGAAATCCTGATTGAGGGGAAAATGACTTAAAAATTAAAATGAAAGGAATGCGCGTAATTGAATAAATTTTACCTAGATAAATTAGTTGGTCAAGATAACAGTTAGTTATGAAATGTAAAATTGTTGCAGTAATTGGATTATGAAACACATTCCAACCACTAAGAGATTGGCGTGTGCAAAAACACCATGTCCAATCAGCATCACTGTGAACTTATTCTAGTAGTTATTCTCGTCAGATTTTTTAAGCATTGAATTATGCGATGAACCACTGTTGAATGAAATTAACAAAGAGAATGCATGAGTTTAATTGGTTACTTTACAAAAAAAGATATGTGAGGGAAATTAAAATTCAAATAATTAAGACTCCCCATATTTTTCTTATATATTAAGGTGTTGGTGCAAGTAATTAAAGGGGAGAAGAAGAATGAGCAATGGATGATAACAAAGAGGACTACTATTGTATATCAAATAGAGGAATGAATGAGTTACAATATTGATAGCCTGGGTAGCATATTTATATTAAAAATAGAAAATGCCAAAAGACCCTATTAAAAAATAAGCATTGGGAATTATAGACATTAACTAAATTATATTTCCAATACCATCCCTTAATTTAGATATTCTATCAGAAGCTAACAACACCAATTTCATCTCTCAAGCAAAAAATTGATCTATTTTAACTTCCTTTGTTAGAAGATCTGCAAGCTGTTTTTGAGTGCTACAGTGCAGAACTTCTAACACTCCTTTATGCACTTGACTTCTGAGAAAATGATACTTCGTCTCAATGTGCTTGCTTCTTCCATGTAGAACTGAATTCTTGGCAAAATCAATTGCAGACTTATTATCAATCATCAACTTCAAAGGTTCCTCAACTTCAACCTTCAGATCATGCAGGAGATTCAGAAGTCAAACAGCTTGACCAGCAGCTACAACACCCGCGATATACTCAGCTTCACATGTTGACAGAGCCACGACAAGCTGTTTCTTGGAACTCCAGGAAATGGGACCTTCCAGAAATTTAAACAAGTATTCAGAAATACTTCTCCTGTCCACTCTGTCTCCGCACCAGTCAGAGTCAGAATAACTTACTAATTCTGGTTTTGTCTTTCTTTCAGAAGGAAACAACACTCCATATCTCAGGGTTCCCTTGATACATCTCAGAATTCTGACAGCAGCTTGAAAATGAGACCACTTTGGATTACTCATGAATCTGCTAACCAATACAACTATATAACAAATGTCAAGTCTAGTATTACATAAATATCTTAGAGAACCAACCAACTGTTTGAAGGTTGTAGAATCAACAGAATCACCATCAGAGTCAGAATCCAATTTGTGATTGGTTTCTGATGGTGTCACAACAACTTTGCAATTCTCCAGCTTAAATCTCTTCAGAAGTTTTAGTTCATACTTTAACTGATGCAGAATGATACCCTTCTTTGAGTATATAATCTCCATCCCTAGGAAATATGTCATTTTTCCTAGATTTGTCATCTCAAACTCATTCATCATAACTTCTTTGAACTTCTTTATATCTTCTGGGAAGCTACCTATTAGCAAAATGTCATCAACATAGAGACACACCAGAATCATATTGTTATCAAAGTGTTGAACATAAAATCCATATTCCATCTCACATTTCTGAAACCTCTGCTTCTTGAAAAACGAATCAATTTTCAGATTCCAAGCTCTAGGCGCTTGCTTCAGTTCATACAGATATTTATTCAACCTGTATACCATCCCTTCCTGATTCTTTTTCACAAATCCATGAGGTTGTGACACATAAACTTCTTCCTGTAATGGACCGTTCAGAAATGCAGACTTCATATCCAGATGCATTAAAGGCCAATTTCTATTTGCAGCTTAAGCAATCAACAATCTGATTGTTTCATGCCTAGCTACAGGCACAAACACCTCAAAGTAATATAGCCCAGGTTTCTGAAGAAAACCTCTAGCTACTAGTCTAGCTTTGTGCTTGCCAATTGAACCATCTCGCTTAAGTTTCAACTTAAAAACCCATCTGACGCTGATGGCTTTTTTTTATCTGGAATTTTAGTCAATTTCCAAGTTTTGTTCCTTTCTATTGCCTCAAGTTCTTCTTCCATGGCATTAATCCATTCTTTCTTCTTGAGAGCTTCTTCAATGCCCACTGGTTCAGAATCTACTAACATGGCACACTAAACGACTTCTCCTTCAGAGTCAACTTCATTATCCTGTAACATGTCAAAATCTGCAAACCTTCTTGGTTTTTGTCTGATTCTTTGTGGTCTTTGAGCTTGTTCTGAAGTTGTACCATAACTACTACTTTCAGAGTTACCACCTTCAGAGTTTTCCCTTCTAGAACTATGATCACCACAAGATTCTGGATCATCATCAGCATCTGGATCAGAATCAAATCCATTTCCAGAATCTTCTTCTGACTCATCTTCAAAATCTTCAGGATCTTCAGAATCAGATTCATCTTCTGAACTTTCTAAAACATCTTCAGAGGATAACTCTGGTGTTGGCACTACACCAGAATCTGATTGAGATTTGTTCCAATCCCTTGCTTCAGACTCTTTCACCACAACGTCTCTGCTGACTTCAACTTTATTAGTTTCTGGACAATAAAGCTTATACGCACCTGTACCATGGTACCCCACCAGCAATATTACTTTGCTTCTATCATCCAATTTTTGTCTTCTAGCTTCTGGAACATGTTTGTAACAGACAGAGCCAAACACCTTCAGATGAATGACACTCTGCTTATCTCCAGTCCATTTCTCTAAAGGAACAACTTCCTTTAGTTTATTCGTTGGACACCTGTTCAGAATATATGTTGATGTGACAACAGCTTCTCCCCATAGCACGTGAGGTAGCTTTTCTCTTTCAGCATGCTTCTGGTCATATCATGCAAAGTTCTGTTTCTTCTTTCAGCAAGACCGTTGTGCTGAGGAGTATATGGATCAGTAATCTCATGTTCTATTCCACTCTCCTCACAGAACTTCTAAAACATTGTAGAGTTATACTCACCTCTACCATCCATTCTCATAATTTTTAACTTTTGACCACTCTGCTTCTCAGCCTTCACTTTGAATTTCTGGAACTCAGTAAACACTTCATGCTTGAACTTGATGAGTGTTACCCATGTCATTATTGTGAACTCATTCACAAAAGACATAAAATAATTGTTTCCTCCAAGTGAAGGTACTGGAAATGGTCCGCACACATCAGAATGTACTACTCCCAGAGCATGCTTCGCTCTGGGGGCTACTTCTGATGTAAATGGAAATCTAGGTTTCTTGCCTTTCATGCATATCTCACATGACTTCTCAGGCTTCACAATCTTCGAAACACCATGTACAAGCTTCTTAGAACATAGATGCCCTAAGCTTCTATAGTTCAAATGCCCCAACCTCTTATGCCACAACTTACTGTTACTTTCAGCGTCTTCTGCACTAAGACATGTTGCTTCAGATGTTTCTACATTTACCTTGAATGTTCTGTTGCCTCCTTGTTCAAACTTCATAATCAACTTCTGATTGGAATCAT